GCGGCCGGGCTGCTCCCGGCCGCCTGCACCACCAGCGCTGCTCCCTGCCCGAGCTGTCCCGTGGCTCCAGGCCACCCCTGTCCCAGCACCCGTCCCGGCGCGCAGCAGCGGGCTGCGGGAGTGCGGGCAGAGGGGCACGAGGGGTGTTGAGGGGCAGCGCATGGAGGCCCTGAGGGGACTGCGAGGGGCTTGTGGAGCTGGACCGAGGGCTCAAGCCCTGCCCTGCCACAGCCCCAGGCCGCCCGCACAGACCCCTCGACCGACCACGGGCAGAGTTCCTCCCCCACCCTCAAAATCCCACATGCCCCAGCCCCCAAGGGCCAGACCACCGCTGCTATCGGCCTTGGTGCCTCCCCAGCTGGCAAACGGTGGGGCAGAGGTGAGGGTGCCTTTGATGGGGGCAGAGCCAGGAGGGGAGATTGCCCTTGGCTGGGGGTACGGCACTGGCGTCGGTCAGGCTGAACAGCATCTCTAGGCCAATGGGGCCACCGCTTGACAGCTGCCCTGGAGACCCTGGCTCTGTCTTCCTTACACCCTCCTCTTCAGATACTTGTACACCTTGATCAGATCCCCCCTGAACCTTCTCTTCTCCAGGCTGAACAGTCCCAGCTCCCTCAGCCTTTCCTCCTAGGAGAGATGCTCCAGTCCCTTCATCATCTTAGTAGCCCTTTGCTGGACTTGCTCCGGTAGCTCCGTGTCTCTCTTGTACTGCAGAGCCCAGCATTGGAGACAGCATGCCAGATGCGTCCTCACCAGTGCTGACTGGAAAGGAAGGATCATCTCCCTCGACCTGCTGGCAACACTCTTCCTGATGTGGCCCAGGAGGCTGTTAACCTTCTTTGCTGCAAGGGCACATTGCTGGCTCATGTTCACCTTGGTGTCCACAACATTGTTAGTTGTTGCCCACAAGATTATTAAACATAGATTTTTTTGGTTGATGTTTGTCTTCCCCAGACTTCCTCATAGTCTTTGGCCAGTTTCAGCTTAAAAGATAACTGGAGACAGAGACAGACTAGAAATTATAACTCATAAATCAAAGACAGAGGTAATCTTGCAATCTTGAGATAGGAAACAAAAGATTGAAATTCATCAAAATTATGACCAGAAGAGCCAAGTGGAAGAAGTAGTGGGAGAATCTGGTGAAGAGAAGCAGATAAAAACTCCTATGCTTATTGATATTTATTGGTTAAGATTTAAACTTTTAGAATAAAAGAATAAATTGAGGCATTTTGCAAGAAATGTACTCAAAGAGCATTTCTTTCTTGAGTGCTGGGTGAGAAGAGAGATTTCTATTAGGAAAGGACTATTCATATCTCCAAATATGCCCCCTTTTTCATCAGTTCCTCATTGACTGGAGGAGAGAATCTTAGTATTAGTATTAGTACTATTACCTATGAGTGTGGCTGTTTCTCAGCACATGGGACTTTGAGGAAGAGTAGGAGCGGATGCTTATGTGCTATTTCAGTCATGCTTGGGACTTTCAGTTCAAATCCTTTGTTTATTTATTATTGGTCACTCATATCTTTCATTTACCTTCTTCAGCCTGTTGTCAGGTCTGACAAAATACCAGTGAAAAGTTTTCTTTCCTTCTTAGCATTCATTGATTTGTATCTTTTAAGAAAAAAGTTTGATGAGAAGAAATTCTAAGTCTCAAATCCAGCCAAGAAAGAAACAAGTTTCTCATCTGCTGTTGAGAAGTTGACTGTAGACTCTTTTGCATTAGTCCTTCTTATAAATTTTCAAAGAAGCAGTCTTCATCTTCCTCTCATTCTATCCTGTGAACATGGAAGGAGTCTCTCTTAAATGTCCACAGTACATCATTGTTCATCTTCAAAACTTACCCTGCCAAAATAGCTATGAAACCAGTGATAACATTTAGCTTGCAGTCTGGCATTATCTTACAGCTAAGTCAGCCTAAAAAGGTAGTTGTTACCAAAAGCCATATTTTTCCTTCAGTGCCCTCTACACTCTCTTGTGGCCACACATTCCCACTCCGGGGTCTCCTGTGCCATCACTGTTACTCATCTGATCTTGTAGTGTGATGATGAAGGAAACTAAATTAGCAGAAAAAAAAATGTTTTTCTCAATAAGTAGTTTTCTGCCTCTTAAGTTTCACAAATTGGGAGCAGATGAGATTCAATGTAAAAGCAAAGGAAAGCAATTGCTGGTGCAGAAGAGTGGAGCAGGATTGTACTTTGGCAGTAGTTAGCTGTTAGATCAGCTTAGCCGTGACTGTACCTATAAACAGTTAGTGTACAAGAATACTACTTTTATCACATTGATCTGTGTTGTGTTGCTATCTCCCTGAGCTCTTGTGTTTGTAACCACCTTATTTCCTCTGTTTTCTACTTTGATCATAAGCCCGTAGTGCAGGGTCTGCCTCTTTGTACTGTTTTTGTAAACCACAACTTTTGCAAGTTTGCAACTTTTTCCTGTGATGTTCACCGCATCGTATCATTTTTTCCTTCTAAACAGATGCCTCACATTATTTTTTATTGCTTGGGGAGGATGACACAGTCTTCAAAAAGCTGTTTGCCTACCTCAGTATGAAAAGATTTAGTATTATAACATCCCCTCTGCATAACATGAATAAAGTCAATACTAGAAATGACACTATTTTTTTATTCCGATTTAACAGGTTGGAATTTGAGGGCTGGATACAGTTGTGTTTCGGGCTAGAAGAAAAATGTGTTGCCAAGCTTCAGGAAGAAAGATCTGTGAGGAAGATTTATGCACTTGATGATCCTGACTGTTTTGCTTTTGTTGGTATTGTTTCCACTGTTGTTGCTCCACAGAGCATCCCATTGCAGGTGTGGAGTATGTGAAAGGCCTTAAAAGACTGGATTTATGAAAAACATTGTGAAGATGGACACGGTGGTTTGGGAGACTGATATTAGGGTATGAAAGTATTAGGTTTATACATAACCAGTTTGAATATAACTGAAAGATCCTTATGGGGCCAATGGGAAATATTTTGATCTTTAAAACTTGATTGATTTCCTAGTATTTTTTCAGCCATCTTACTCAGGTCTATTTGTGTCTCATCAGCAGGGACAAGCCCCTTGGATTGCTCCTGACTGGTTGCAACAGCAATAAGCGCATTGAAAGGGGAGGAGCAAGGCAAACCTAGGGTTCTAATTCAGCAAAATAAACCAGGATGGTACTGGAAATACTCCTGGAGAGTTGGGAGAGAACTTTAGGCTTGAATTGATGCTGCGCTCTTCCATCTCTGATGTATGAGACCTCTGTGCAATAACACTTGAGAGCATTTGCCTCCCCAGGGAATATTTTCCTTCAGATAAGGGTTGAATGAAGAGAAGACTGCATGGAAACTCAGCAGATTGGTTAGCAAAACTGCCTAAGCATACATCTCATCTCAAAGTGCAGTTTTGTGTTATCACTAAACTAACTGGTAGTGGCTAGCTGCCACTGGAGGGCAAAGGTCTTGTTCCTGGCTGTGCTCTCCCACAGCCATTTCTGTGCTGGCTTTGCTGGCTGCCTGAGCTGGGATGAGCCAGGTCAGAAGCCTGTCTGGCAGCGAGCTCAGCCAGGCAGAAAAGTTTTCTTGCACTGGCTCACTCAGGTCAGCTAAGAGTCAGCAAAGGCTCCAGGAAAGGGAGAGCAATCCACAGGGGAGAGCCACAGTAGCACTGATTTAGATGACTTTAAACTCTCATACAAGTGCATGCTCCTGGGTGGTGCTTCTTCCTCCTGTCCCTGCTCTAAGCTTTGCATTTTCATCCCTTCCCTAGTGCTGTTTCTGATGCTTCCTTGACCTCTTGTGAGTTGATTCAACTCACTAACATCACAGGAAAACTCTTCAATTGTTTTGCTGAGTTAGCTTGTTGAATTGATTGAACGTGCAACTATAGAACCTCAACACTGTGTGAGGGACAGATCCATTTTTTTTAATGAAACTGTCTGTTTTTGGTGGTCAAACCATTAGAACGGTTCAGCTGTGCTGCATAACCACACACTAAGGGTACAATTTGGTGTTATATTTCACCTACTGTGAGTGCAAGCTGTTACTGAAGGAGATATTCTTAAACTCCCCGATCTGATGAAAAAATAATTCTTTTTTGGTGAGTTGCCATAAAGCTGTGTGACTGTTAAATCCAGCTCAGGGGAAGCTGCAGGAACGTATGTATAGGGAGTGGCTGGGAAGAACAGAACTGCTGCTTTTTGTGGCAACCTCCAATTAGGTCATGGTAGCATGATGTGAAACCATCCTCTTAGGCTGCTTTCAAAAGGGATGAAAACAAAACTCAGTTTGTCAAAAAAAAGTTAATTTTGAGTTATATCAACACAGTGATGTAACTTAACATGGAACTGTAGAACAATTTGTGCTGACACAGGGAGAGACTGAGAAGATGCAGTGAGAGACAGGGCATAGGGGGAATCACCTCTTTTGGTAGCAGTGTTATCTTTGAATTACTGATACTGACCTTGGAGATGCTCCCCAAGAAGGGGTTTCCAAGCGATAGAAGAAGTTTTTAGCTGTTGGTAGTAACCAGCTCAACAAAATGATCCAACTTACAAAAAAATAGTATTTATTTACTTTTTTAAGCTTGGTGTTTTCAGTGACCCCATAAGCAGGTAGAAGAATGGGAAGGTGAAGGACTATGTTAGTGTGTGACTAGGAAAGTGGAAAATCAGAAACCTGTTAAACAGGCTTCAGTGTCAGGAAAATTAAAATGTGAACCTGTGCTTTGGATTTTCTGTACTAGCTAGTAATGCACAAGAATGAAGATGCACATCAACAAATGCCTCTTCTTACAGACTGTGTTATTGCTGTTCCTCCAGTTTGCTGGTACTGTGTGGTGGAGAGAGTGGTACGATGCCAAAGCTGTGAAGTATGACATGCTACAGCAGGGAGCATGACTTTTTTAATACGTTTTTTTGGAGGAGCTAAATCTATATTTAATACTGAAAACCAATTTCCTTAAACTTAAAGCTGTTATAGCTCTAAATTTATTTAAAGACTTTTCTCAGTTTGAATAAGAAAGTTACTTCTATATGCTGCTTCAAATTTGTATTTTCTGTCTTCATCTTCATTGCTTTTCCAGCAGTTTCTGAATTAAAAAAAAAAAAACTGTTGTAATAGTTTGCCCTTTCTTGAATAACGGTTTGTTGTTAGTTAATTGAAGATTCTTTGTGTTTTTTTATCATTATGATTATGCAGGCCTGACTGCTGATGCTAGAATAGTGACTAACAGATCCAGGGTGGAATGTCAGAGCCGTAAACTGATTGTTGAGGATCCAGCCACAGAATATCTCACACAATACATTGCAACTTTAAAGCAGGCAAGCAGTTTGGCACTGTTAGACTTCTGTGTAAAAGCTTCAAATCCTTAATATTGAAAACAAAGCAGTTGTTTCTATTCCATCTGTTAAAAAAGGAAGTCAGGTTAAGGTTTCTTTGCAGGACTTCTTAAAAAATATGAATATCACTTGAGAAAAATAACTGTTTTTCACAAGACAGTAACAGCTAATATCAGCTCTTTTATTTTAAGGACCACGAGCAAATATATTTTCTTGTCTATTGCCATGTGTATAGATGGAGGGAACTTCCCTGTATAATTTGGAAATAAAAATAATGCAGAGAGACCAAACAATATTATCATATACAAGAGCTGAGATAAGACCAGAAACTTAAAACAACAACAAAAACCCTTACAGCAGAGAGCAGTGTGGGAGGCTAAACTGAAAGTAAAACTCACAGATACAGATTCTTAATTTCAAAGACTGCAGATCAGCTGAACAGTCTGATTGATTGCAAGCGTCTCAGATGGTCCTTGGAATCTGTTCACAGCTGTGCCCAAGATCCTGTTAAAGGATAATCTGACTAAGCCTTAATTCCTGTAGTTCATGTGGTTTTAAGAGGGAATGCTTATTTCACTCTGAAGCCAGTTTTGCCTTAGTTATTTGTGTGTGACTTGAGTGGAGTTGTACAGCTGCAATGCTGCCTGTGAACTAACCTCTGAATATCAGAAATAATCAGTTGGTATATCAAAAATGCATAGCTATATGGTGAATAGCTGTAACCTGCCTTTTCAGTTTTGTAATTTTCTTGTGTTTTGGGCCTGTAATATTCTTAATTTTCTGGGATGCCAAAACTGGTCAGCTCTATACACAGAGCAATGGAAGTCCTAAACTGCACCAGTTTCATCTGGTGCCTACCACTCTCGGAAAGTAACTATCAGTTTAATATATGTACTGTGTATATGGATTTTATGTGCAATCAATTTTATACAATAAAAATGTTTATATATATAGCCAATGTATTCCACTGAAGCTGGATGTTGAATTCTGAACCAAACATCGACAGAGTCAGAAGGAAAGTTCAAGCTGAGTGAGCCATTGAAGCATACTTGGTTTTGGAATAAAGTTATAATAAGACTATAGCAAAAATACAAAAATAGGTGTAAAAGCTTCATGAAGGCAATCATATTGCTTGATATTTGCCTCAAAAATGGTACCTTATTACAGAAAACTAAAAGTAGATTCCATTTGAAATTTGTCTTGTGGTTTTTTTGTGATTCTTTTGTTCACTTGTTGCTTTATAGATAAACTTTTCTGTATACAAATTTTTTACTTTTTTGAAAACTCTTGTGTTACCTGTATTTGAAGAAACACAGACAACACCAACTAAGCCATTAGAGTTTTGGTACCAGGTAGTTTTGAGTCTTACCTTGCTGTTGATCATGGGGTTTTGTAACTGACTCAAGCAGGATAGGAACGAATATGGTGAAGCCTTCTGTGTACTGCTCATTTAACCTAAAAGATCTCCCCATCAGCACTGCAGCTGTGCTACTGGGAGCAGTGGCAAGAGAGCTACTCTAGATGATTAGATTTAGCCTTCCATTCCAGTTCCAGGGAAATCGTTGCATGTGTTTTGAGTACAGGAGGCAGAAAAGAGAGGTGGAGTGATCCTATCTTTCAGAGCTGTGAGCATGGGGGTAATAATTAGGAGGATCATTATTATTTTTTTTTTTAAATGAAGAGAGATGGAGTGAGGCTGAACTGAGGAAGTACCCAGGCTAAAGAAATGGTCATATCTGACTGCAGCTGGTGTTTGTACTGTGTACTCAGTCAATCAGATCTTTACCCCTTCGGTTTACAGGGGTAATTTCATTGCTGGCTTTGTGCCTAATAGTTACTTAAAGCTCTTGTAATGTATATGCTCATGGACGACCTCTTCATTACTGAACAAAACTGCCAATGTCCATTTTTTGTCCCTGAGGCCATGTTCAGAACAGACTCTCCTTGCCTCAGAAACAAAATAGCTGTATCCAGACTGATGCTTCCCAATGTGGGCCATTCCTGAATGTTGCTCAGGAGTTATCTGGGAGAGAATTAATTAGGCTGAGCCAAAATCATGCCAGAGACGGTTGTAGCAATACCGATGATCAAGTTCCAGTGTCTGGGCCCATGCACTGGTAATTTTTCTCTTCTGGCACAGGCATAGCTAAGGTAACTGAAAGCTGCTGCAGTGGATTGATTTCTCCGGTGTAGACCGGAGTCGCATCCACCTTTACAGTTCAGCATCTCTGCTTTGGATTAATCCTCTTTGATAATAAAATATAGATATCTTCCAAGCTTAATAGAAGAGGAAGGGGAAAGATAGTATGCTAACATATTGTAATAGTTTCTGGGCTCTGGTTATGTGTAAATCAAAACAACTTTTTCTGCAGAATGGATTAAAATTCCCCAAACCTATCAGTGTATATGACTTGGTAAAGGCAAGATCAAAGAACACATTTGCTTTGAAGGAAAGGACATAGGGAACCTTTAAAGTCTTACACTGGCTTTACATATGTTGTGCTTATTTTATACATTTTTCGCTGTCTTTAGAGACCAATGAAATAAAAAATCTAAACAGAAAGTTAAGCAGTGAATATCACTTCTGTACTGATGTACCTTTGTTTCCAGGAGGACAGTTTTATTACATAAGTATTTCTCATTGCTACATTTATATTGTAAATGCTAGTTTTATCATTCTTATTTTTTTGTCACTTTCTAACACATGTTAATATTACAGATGGCTGTAAAGTAACTGCTAGTATTGGCAAGTAAAGTAACTGCTAGTATTGGCAAGTAACCAAACAATTTGCATTCTCTTAGAAAGTTTGTGGGGGGAGTTGCCTTTTAGATAAAACAACTTGTCACGTAATAGCTGTTCTTGCTGGTACCATCATCTCCCTCCTAGCTCCCATTTGTTCTGAGACTCAGATTCTTGATTGGCGGTTATAGATAAAAGGTAAGAAAAAGTCCTAATTCCTTCGTTCCTCGTGTGAGTGGTTTTTTTTTTTTCTTTCCCCAAGGTGAGTGTACAGTACCAGAGTTAACTTACTGCTGCAAATGAGAGTGGTTTTGCTTTACAGTCTTCTATTCTATGCTGTGATATGCCCATCACGCCTTTTTTTTTGCTTCCCTGCCCTGCTGGGGCCTGCCTGTAGTTGCTTCTTATTCCCCGGGTTTTGCCTCAAGGGTGTAGTTAATTGGATTACAGTTCATGTTCTCTGCTTGATTCCCAAGAGCCAGAAAGCAGGGTAGTGGAAGCTACCATCTGCTTTTCCCTGTCCTGTGGATTTCTTTCATCTCTAATGAACTCAGACCAAAACACAGACCAGTGTGCTCAAGAGCTATCATAATACTTCAAAGCAGTTGTTGAGCTAGCTGGGGAAGAATTGTGGAGCATACAGATAGACATTAAATAGATCAAGCAATGAGACCATGAAAAGCTGAGGGTTTACAGAATCTGACAACTGTTTCATTAATGACAACATTGTAAACGTGAGAAGAAAAAAAACATTCTGAATGTACTTGTTTCACTGTGAACAGTGCAAGATGCCATTCATGCCACCCTTATTATCATTGGAGAAAAGGTTGACAGAACCTTGTTTCTGGGATTGGCAGCGGTGTAATGATAGTCAGGTCGAAACATGACTTCTTTTCAAGGATACGGTCAGTGGACAAAGTCATGGCATGGGTGCAGATGGTCCCAATCAGCTCTTCAGTATCCCCAGCTGAAACTTCTGCCCACCTTCCACTTTCCTTTCAAATGAGCAGATGTTAATTTTTTTTTAATTATGTTAAAATCATTTTTTGTTAAGCTTCAGAGAGGGAAAAGAATCCTTGAAACTTGCATTGTATGAATTGTATCATTATGCAATCACTACAAATATTTATTCACTAGGCACTGTGAGAGATAACATAGCTTAAACACTACACGCCAGTCTTGCACACCAAACTGTGTGGACACCATTCAGTTCACCAGGAAGCTCTGACAGCAATTTCAGTTTTGGTGAAACTGAAAAAAAGTTATGAAATCCATTACAGAGAAACGCTGTGCTTGCCTTTTTTTTTTCTATTTGAGGCAAATAGATGGTACCAAACTTTGGCAGTTCTTCCAAACAGAACTTAGCTTTAAAACATAAAAAAAAAAGTCTTTTTTGAAGGGCTGAATATAGGTCTGTCTGTATCGGTCAGTGAAGTATGCTGCATCTTGGCCCGCTCAGAATGCTTCTCCCATGGACAGAATTTAATTTGAGTTTCTTCAACTGTTGGTCACAGGACTGTGTTAGGCAGTTTCAAAATTTCTGTCCTTCCCTAGCTCTGTATCAGAAGAAGTTTTAGCAAATAAAGAGTTGCTAGCATAGTGTACATATAGAAAAAGACATGTGTGGCATGAAAAAGTTTTGAGAACCCCTGTTCTGATATATTTATGTCCCCAGATACACTAAGATAAAGTCTTGAAAAGTTATCAGATCCTAAATAGAAGTGAGGGGAAATCACTGTCCTGGCAGATAGCCAAATACTGAATGATATATTGCATACTGATATTGGGGGAATCCCAAATTAGCACCCAGTCTGAAATGTATACCAGCTTTTATGCGATTGATTACAACAGGTACATTAATTTCTGTTGTGGTGAGATTTATAGCTCTCTTTCTGTCCTCCACAGGCCAATATCATTTGTAACAACGCTAAAACTGTGCACGAATTTTTGGAAAAGCATCACAGAGAAGAAGCTACAGCAACTCATAAGGACACTATGAAATTAGCAATAAGAGCTGTGCTAGAAGTAAGTGATCTGATGCAATGCCTGTGATAAACGCTCCAAGAAAAGCTTGGGTTTCTTTCCTTTATGGAAATGTAAAATGCTTTGTAAACATACTTGTTTTAGTGATTTTGTTGTACAGTAAGTTGTGCCGTCTGGTGGGAAAAAATACTGAATATAGTAAGAAACCCGCCACCACAGGTATGTGTTTGATTTTATAGGGAAAAAAATATAACTGTATAAAAAATCTTCTCACAGAAATTATTCCAGGTGACACCTGTGCATTCAACTTGATGTATGAAGTGTCCCCTAACATCTGGTTGTACAATGTTAGGTGACTTCTGTGGTGTCTCTGTAGACTGATAGTGCTGGGAGCTATAGTGATTGCTGCTAATTTACAACAGAGTGTAAGACTATTGGGAACATTTTGTGCAGAAAGCAGTTCCGGGAAGGCATATGAGAACATGCTACATCCATTGGGTATATAAGACATTACCGTTGTTTCTTAAAATGATGAAAACGATAGGAACATTTTCTCCTGTAGTAATCCTTATTGGAGTATTTCTGAGATGCTGTGGTCCCTTCATAGCGTAATAGCTTCTGTTTCTGTCACAAGTGGAAAACATAGGCTTTAAAGTACATAGAAAATTTGGGTTAAAAATATGATTAGAATACAATATTTTCATTTTTTGGAAGAATTTCATTCTTAATATTTACTACATTATCTCTGTGACAAAAAGAGAATATATAATATATCTAGCTGAGCTATCTTTTATTAAGCTATAAAATAAAGTCAACAGTTTCAAATGACAAGATTACTGTTGATTGTTGTAGCTTACAGTTATTGCTGCTATATCTTAAAGAAGTTCTGTTCCAGGTGTGTTACTTGACAGTCAAAATATTACAAATATTTAGCAGCACAGTCTGGACCTATGGAATGTAAATGAATAAATTATCACATTTGGAAATCTATGGTATTAATACTTTTATTTGTCTTATTCAGATTTTTAGTGCAAAAGATAATGAAACGCAAGTTGCAGAAAGAGAGAAGGAAGAAGAAGAATCTGAAAAGAAAAAGAAGAAAAATATCTAAGTCACAGAACAGGTATGGTGGCTGTTATTAAAATGTTTTTGAAGTTCTAACAAGCAGTAATCGACTAAAGTGCGTTTAGCTGCTGAAAGAACTTATGTTTGATCCTATACTGAGTTCTGTAGTTTTCCTGAAATGTGATAGACTTCCAGTTGTGCTAAACCTAATATGCTCGTGTGTCCTGCATTGTTCAAGGAGGCATATATTCACCTATTTTTTTATTTTCTTGCACATATATTTGCCACAAAAAGTTATTAACATGTTTTTTGAGGGCTGACAGTTATTTCCCTGGTTAGTTTGGCCACAAGATATGGTAAAATCTTTTACATATCTTTTACATGATACATAATATCTATCAGAATCTCTATTTTTTTTCCTACGGTAACTTTTGCAAATGAGATAATGGTTGTTCAGTGATGCTAAGAGTCCGGTAAAGTTCTGATTTGTACTCTATTTCATTTACTAAATGTTACAGTGCTGTGCGTGGCTAATCTATTTTTCATAGATAATGTCATGTTATGTAATGCTATATTATAGGCCAGTGCTGCTTCAGCAGTAAAACTGCTTTCTTCTAGTGAATCTTACCAGATAGCAAATGGTATCCTTCTTTATGACTTCCCAATATAGTTATATATATTTTTTTAAATGTTAAGTCTTAGTTAAAAAAAATCTGCTATTTCAGTGTTCCGTTGAGAACATGCTTTTGCTCTATAGCTAAACTTTTAATACTGTGAATCCTTTTTTCAAAGGTATTTTAACTGAACCTATTTCATATTACTGTACATTTTTAGCTACCTATTCATACTGCACGTTCTCATTCTTCCGACCTCTCTCACTGTTTACTTAGTCTTCTCATCTTTATTCCTCAGTTAAAACCCAACTTATGAGGTGCATGTGTTTCCCTGACCTTTCCACTTCATCAGATCACTTTTGTGGCTTCCTGATGTAGCTTTGGGTTCCCCAACCCAGCAGGAGTTGCAGGTGCACGTCCAGGTTGGCCTTCTGCTGCTGGGAGTTACGTGTTTCACCTTATGGCTACGCTCTAAGTTCAGTAAACTCTCCTGTTATTAGTAGCTCAATATGATCAAGCAAGCTTTATAGCTTAGAATAATACAAAAGTTATGCCTAATTCTTTTGTTGTGCTCTCCTGTTGTTTAAATATTTTGTTAGACTTTAAAGCTGCAGTGTATTGTACCTTATGGGACAAAGAGTTTGACTTAAATAAATGTAATGTTTGGTTTGACATCTGTCAGTCCTAATGTCCAAAAGAAAAATGCATTCCCATAAAAGATCAGTCAAGATAGGAAAAAAAAGGCATTGTGACACCGACTATAAATTTGAAAAAATCTACCTCCAGTTGTAAACTTAATGTAAGGCACGATTACTAAGGATGTTAAAAAAATGGTCAGTTATGATTTTACTTGGTTGTTTTCAGTAATAAATAAATTCACATCTGCCCCTGTATTCCTACTACTTAATCTTTCTGGTTATATTTTCTATCTCCTTATTTTCAACCAATTCATTCTGTCTGCCTCTTTCTTTTTTTTATTTGTATGAAATTTCCTCTTCCTTGATTTTTACTACTCTTATCTGCAGTATCCCATTTCCTTCAGCATCTTTTCCAGAAGATCTCATGGTCTCTGTTACTATTTAACATATTTCTTGGTAAGCATAGTTATAATATTTTCATTTTTCCCACTAAAATTAACTATTTTAAATAATGGGATTGAATCTTCGCACATATTTCTTCCCTTCTTATTACAGCTACATGCGTAAGTTAATTCTGCAGTGCTGCCAAGTCTCTGTCATTTAAGGAAAGCTTAAGACAAATATTACAGGTTTTTCGTTCCAGCTGATTTGCTGGTTGTATTTAACTGATGATTTATCAATCAGAGAGAAAATAAAACTTTTGTAAGAAGTATCGCTGACAGATTAAAAAGCCTGAAGCATAGTAGATGGATTTCATAGGATTGTGGGAAGCTAAAACAGTGTGTTGGATGTGAAACTGACTTAAGATTTAAGGGCTTTATGAAGGTCTTTCTTTGAAAGAGTTGAGGCCTGCTGTCTGGGCAGCAATTTTGGACTGGGAGTTGGTTTACATTTTAAATACCCTATTTGAAAGCATAGAGAAAGCTCAGTAGAGCAGAGACCAATTCAGTATGCTGTAGTAGTCTCAACTGTTGGAAAGAGGTTGTGCAGACCAACTACTGGCAGTATATAACCCAGTAGCTCCTGAGGAAATCTAAACCATTGTTTACAGTAATGCTTTCCTATGCCTGAAGCTAAAGGAGATACCTCTAGATGAATATCAAATTAGTCCATTCATGAGTTACGTGTAATAGTAAAGCAGGTGAATTCACCAAGCCTGGACATTCTTTGAATGAGTAACTAGATGTCTCTTCAGCTGACTTTGAAAAACAATTACCATATTCATCAGTATCTCCTGGACAAGGTCTTGGAAAAAGGTGTAGACAAGAATGATGACTTAATGAAAAGTTTTTCAAGTGATGAGTTTTTTGGTGGTAGCAGTTAAAATACTCGGCGTAGTGACAAAAGTAACTTCTCTTACATGTGTTGTAAACTTTTCAGTTACTAAAATGAAAATAGCTTTAGTTTCCAGATTCTGTGTTCCTTCCAATTCACACTAAGTTTCTGCATTGTTCTTAGCTTAGATAATGAAGACTGGATACAGGTAATTAATCAGTCCTGTGTTATAACATATTCCTCCAGTGTTGAAAAACAACTCTTCCTTTTATTTCCTGCACAGTTTATTGGAATGACAGGTGTTATCTGCTTTGCTTGAAGAGTACAGTTTTGGCAGTCTTAGACCATTTTTTTAAGATGTGTATATTTCTAAATCTTCTGGGCTTTGTTGAGTGTTTTTTTTCCTCTTTACTATCATTGGGCTATACTTTTTCCTGTGTCTTTCATGTCATTTCCTCTTTTACTTTTGCACCGTTTCTCTCTCACTATGTTATATTACTTCCTTTTTTCATACTCAGCTATTCCTCCCAGCTTAACTACATACTCTTCTGTCTGCTGCACCTGTCTCTTTTTGTCTCTTCCAGATACGCTTTTGCTTCTAAACATTTGCATATGAGTCTTAGAGATTCCTATAAAATTTGAGTGGCCCCAATAAGAGAAATCTTGATCTTAGATGATAAACCAGTTCTGTTCTTCCCTGAAGTTCCAGAAAAGCAGAACTTGTGTTGTGGACTGCATACCTTCCTTTCCATCCTACTCAATTTGTCATCAGTTAGTGTTGTTCTTCTTGTGCTGGAATTCAATTTTTCCTTTCTTCTGTTCTCTGAACATCCTTTGGCATGAGGGAGGTATCTCACTATCCTTTGGTTGTCACCTTATACACCTAGATTCACATGCAGAAGAAGAACTGATTAATTTGCTCAGACTCGGCAAAGCTGTAAGGGGTACAGAGACTGTCTGTCTCCTGTGTCACCCCATTGTCTTTCTAGTCCACTTTTAACACTTTGAAACTGCAGCCGTTGCTGCTGCCTCCTTAGGATTTTGGATGGAGTTCATTAAGGAACGGTAGCAGAGTGCATGATGCAAAGAAATGAAAGCTATGATAATGAGGCAGAGGGGATGCCATAAGAGAAAGAGAGAAGAGATCCCTGTTCAGATCCTAAACAGTTTTTGATTTGTTAGATATAGGCTTCTGTGCCACTGTCTCTCTTACCTGGTGCAACGCAAATGAAGGTATGATTGCAGCGCTCTGTGCAATCTGTTAAAGCTTCCAGTGTATTAATAGTGGTGAAAGTATGGTAGAATAAACTTTGCATGCGTGTAAAAGATCAAGGCACTTACTCAGACAGCTAGTCCAAGCCATGTCTGTTGTTATCTGTGCTAGTGAAGTTTCCGTGGGTCCAGTTACCTGTGTTGTGATCACACTAGAAATTAAGGTGCAGCCGTATACTTTTAGTTCTCACATGATTTCTCTTCAGTGCCTGCCTTACCTGCTGCTGACAGTATTTTAAAGCAGCAATACTGTGAAATTGAGCAAAGTTGCAAATAAAAATCGTTAAAAAGAGGAGCGTTTCTTTTCCTCCTGCAGTTTGACAAACCTGCATATGGAACTATCCATCACTGCATGGAAGAGCTGTATTATCTTATACACTCTGTTCACATTTTGCATGATTTTCACTGTATCTTCAGGTATTGGAATTTCTTGTATACATTTCTACCTGAAAAGCATAGTTGCAAAGGATCTCTATAATAAAATTTTTAATTTTTTCTTTTTTTTTCAATACAAACATTTTGTTGGATTTTGTGCTTTAGGTGCTACTATAATGAATTGTACACCAGGCCTTCATTTTGTAGTCACTTGTGCTGTGCTTAACTCGGGCAGATGAGCAATCCTCAAGTTTTATGGGTAAAGATAAGCATGTGCATAAGCGTGCTTCAAAACCTATTGAAATTTAGCCCAAACCTAACTATGATAAATAAAAACCTCAAAATAGATTTATTCAAGGTCATACTGACACCCCTATACACACAAGCAAAGAAATTTCAGTTCTACTCTGAAAATTGTTTTCAAAAACTGTCTTACTGGTATCTGCAACGTGCTTACAAGGCGAGGGAGGTTCTATTTTCCTCCTCTCTCCCGTTCACACGGCCTCTCTTTAAACCAAGCCTAGGATGCGAAGGTCACACTGGAAGACTTTGTCGCACTCATCATTAAAAAAGCAAGCGCTGCTTCAGTCTTCAGCGTCTGCCTGGCGACACGCTCAGCTCAGGTGAAGCGTTGCTCGTGACACCGGCCACTTCCTTGCGCTTTCTAAGGCTCCCTTCGGCTTTTCTGGCTGTAACCTTAACGACACCTACAGTCCCCAACGGCCTTCGGCTGGCGCAGGTACCAGGGCCCGAAGGTGGAGCAGCGTCTGCGCGGCTCCTCTAGCCTTGCTGGGTCTAACCGGAGCTTGAAAAGCTGAAGTTTAGTAAGCTTTGCCCTCGCAGCCCTGCCTACCGGCGGGCGGAGGGCACGCAGGCTCCTCACGCCGGGGCGTGACGCAGCGACCGC